ACTATATATTATTTTTTATATTATATATTATATTATTTATATATATTATAATATATTATTATTAATATATATATATAATCATCATCATATTTTTAACCCCTTGAGTACTGAATTTATATATATACATATATATATATATGTATAAATATATATAAATAAAAACAAAATGGAAATATTTATATATTTATAATAGATGACGACGATTCTCACTCGTCAAATGTACCCAAAAAAAAAGGGTTAATAATTCAAATATAGAATCTAGTGTTAAAAAGTATAATTGAAAAAAAAACACACACACACAAAAGAATAATTCTCTTACCCAATAAAAAATCCAACAACTGGTTCACAATATTGAGCAGCTTCTTCCAGACTAAGAGATCTGTTGATTCTACCAATATCCTTAGAACCATGTCCTTTCGTTCCTTCTGCCCATGATTTACGATTGGTCATACTGAAAGATCTTCTTTTGCTATCACGTGTAAAAACACTTTCATCTTGTGCACGTCTCTTATACTTTTCCCCAAGTTTAAGATCAAAATCAACGAAACATGAATTGCCAACTGCATTCCCAGAACAAGAGGATACTTCGTAAAGGGAAGATTCGAATGCTGGATTATCAAGTTGTATGTCATCGTAATTATCGGTATTTCTTCTACGACGATTGTCCATTGAAACAACGGAGGATTCAAATTTGTCGATTAATGGTCTGGCAGGTGATGAAATCGACATGTTTGATCCTACAACGTCGTCGTATCGATTGCAATCACCCTGATCCTCGTTATTGTCCTCTTCGTGTTCAGTGAGAAAATCAAACGCATTGTTGATTTGTTGAGTTACAAATGTTTCATCCTCGTTATTAGATATAATGTTTTCAGAATTATTAGCATGATCTACAATGTCACGATGATCTTGTATGATTCCTGAACAAGTTCTCCTGATAACCGGTTCGAGGTTTCTCGTTATGTCACGTATCCTTTTAATTGTATCCGAAGAGACAACGTCAATTCGTTTCCGGATTGGTACAACCTGATCATGGCCCAAGGTTACCAAGACATCACCGTTATCACTATCGTTCTTAACTTGTTCCTGTTTCACGGTCAGGGACAACTTCTGTTCTAACTTAGGTGGACAAACGTCCAATAAATGTTCCTGTTCCTCTGGTGTTGGATCATTTATTGATACTCTTGCCAAACATAAATCATTACCAAGATCTATCAAATCTTGATCCTCCGACGACGCCATTTTTCTAGGATTTCTACCTGAAACTAAAATTAATATTATATTATATAATAATATATATTATATTATATTATATTATAAATTAGATTATTTTATTTATATTACAATTTTATTTATATTATATATTAAATATATTTTTACTATATATTTTATATTATATATATTTTATATATATTTTAATTATATTATATTATAATTAAATTATAAATAAATAAATAAATATATATATATATATATATACTACTATATATTTATATATTAGTATATATTAATTATATATACTTATTATTAATTGTATAATTATATTAACTAACATTTTTATTACAATTTTTATTTTATATATATTTTTTTTATATACAAATTTTTAGTATATATATATATACTATATATTTTTTTTTTATATTACAACTATACATTTATATTACAATTTTATTTATATTATATATAAAATATATTTACACTATATATTTTATTATATATATATTTAATTATATTATACTATAATTAAATTATAAATAAATAAATAAAAATATATATAATATAATTGTATATATATATATATATATATATATATATACTATTATATATTAATATATATTAATTATATATACTTATTATTAATTGTATAATTATATTAACTAACATTTTTTTATTTAGTAATTTTATTTATTCATTACAATCGATCAAAGTAATATTTTCATTTAACAATTTGTCTTGGTGTCAACCTAAAAACGTAAAAAAAAAAAAAAAAAATAATAAAAAAATAAATAAAAAAAAAAAAACACCCAAGATACCAAGAAATGAAGATATGCAATTTTAATGTGACTCACCAAATTGTTGTAAAAATTTAACGATAACATTGACGAAGTAAGAATCATTTATACTTGACAAAAACATATTGAAATTATTTAGGAGAATAATTTTGTCGATAGTGCTTCGAATAATATCTGATCCTAACTAACTAACTAACTAACTAACTAACGTAACTGGTAGAAACAATTCTTATCTAATTATTCGTCGTATCATTCATATTGTTTAGAAACTATTATGAAAGATGTGTTAACAAACTAATTAGTAACAATTATCTTATAGAGAAATGATTTAGAATTAACTATAATACTTTATTATCGTATTATTTCGTAATATGTTATGGTTGTTATAGTATTATTTTAAATTCATATGAAAATTTTCAAAAAAAAAAAAAAAA